TAGATATCATTTCATTTTTCGAAATAATCGGAACAAGAGTGGTTGAATACGTGTAATACATATAAGTGGAGATGCATATTAAGTTGCACCTCTTATGCTAGAGCTTTGTAACCCTCTGTCCAGCAAACTGATGGATGATGCGGTCATAGATAGCAAGCATAGTATTGAAGAAAGAATGGATTCTTGCATCCGTTGCTCCTTTATGAAATCTGTAGCTTTAATGCTGCGAAAGCAGTGCGAAAATATAGTACAAAGTATGTATCTATATTATAGCTACCATGCTAAATTGAATACCACGACTGGCAATGAACTATATATGAATCGAAGGTAACTAAAGGAGAATTTACAATACCGCAAATCATTCAAAACTGCGTCTATGCAGACGGGTCTAGATCAGCAATAATTTTGCTAAATTATCTCGTTTCCACGTTAATATAATTACAATACCTAATATGTTTTTTCGTAAGGCTAATAAAATCAGTGGTGCGCTCCAACGATGGTGTATTGCCAAACCAGTGGACATGGTGCCCTCGTTGTTTTTTACGGAAGTCTGAATCAATGATCGCATCTGGATAAAAGCACACTGGACAGGAGCAACATATCATGAGAATGAGAGGTAGTGCCAGTAAGTACTCATACAAACCCATGTTAGTTGAAGATACGTATCCAATTGACCGTCCAACACCAAGGTGCCGAACTTCTCCTCAATGGCAGCACTCTTGTAACCATGGCGATCCACAGAAACTCTGCTATTGTCGTTTTAACGCTTATGGGGCCCAAACCACCAAACTGTCACCTGGGCTGAATACAATCTGGGAAATACCACTATCTTGGTCTGGTAACCGTGCAGTCAGGCAAAGATGCCCTGGAAGCGGCTATAGATTACATAAATTATGTTATCAACTACAATTTCGCGCTCAGATGATGGCCCTAACGCAATTAATTAAAACATATTAAGTTAAGGAAATCATTTCATAAGTTGTATTTGGTATTGATGAAATTATGGATAGTATTATTATTATCTGAGGGTGGGATTTGACGTGAAGATCGCGTCCGTGTACTTGCAGGTGATCCAGTAGTTAATTGAGCTGCATGGACGAGGATCTTGCTGCTATAGGAAATGTGTGTAAGACACTAGGCCTTTGTTTGCCATTTCATCAACTAAATGCGAGTATGCGATGTTGTATGTCCAAAACACGCACAAGTCGGCCCATAGCCAGCATCAGTCAAAATACGCGCATTAGGCTTTCCTATGCATTACTGACTATGTTGAAGCTAACGTTCTCGGTAACACCGTCGTACGCACGACCGCTATTGCAAGCACGCCCAACAACGGTAAAATGCATGTACCTCATCTGCCTATGCACTGTGGCTGAAGTTCCAAATTCGCTGAGTTCAAAGTTTGAAGCAAGCGCATCAACAACTAAACAAGAACAATGAAGAGGTAAAGTGACCCTGTTTGCAGCGCGGCGTATGACAGTCGTCGTGCTCTATCCCGTCTATCCCTTCAGGCTAAGGCAGTAGTGGTACGGTATAGAGACATAAGCACAGATGTCAACAAGCGTGAGACCTTAAGCTAAAACATCACAGGGGGCGTAGGTTAATACGGCGTTAGGTGTCACGAAGGTTGGGGCAGACCAACGAGTACGCGGCACAAGTGGGATGTATGGGACGCGCGCACTTGTCGTTACATGTGAACTGTAATTGATATTGATTTATTTACCGAACTGATATGGATATTTTATTAACAGAAATGGGCGCAGCGGCATCGGGAGGTCGTTTTCGCGCGTATGTTTCTCGCACCTGATGTTATAGATATCCACTTTAGTTGGGTTTGCCGAGATTTCATTTTCGCGAGATGTTAGTACTTATTAGTTATAGCTCGATAGTCTAGAAAATGTGAGATTTTCATAGTCTAATACTCTATACGTCTCAAAAAGAATAGATATACGCCATGCAACTATCACAGGTGGTGTAGGTTACCGTTAGTTCGTGCAGGCGCAGTGAATGCGCGCGTAGCACAAGCATTGATCTATATATAAATTATATTAATTGATTGATTAATTGATATATTATATATAGACTATAATATATATTGATATTTATATATAGATATAGATATAGATCAGTGGGAACACGGAATCATGACGTGATTCGCAATTTTTCCGTGCAACAGATACGGGCACTATACACATGATATTGTGGTGGCGCTAGGGGTGACCACACTGGATTTTGTTCCACGCGCTGGTGGTTAAGCACGTGGAATTTATCTTGTTTCGGGGATCATTTCGTCGCAACCAGCGAAGGCTGGACGGTTGAGCAGATAGCAGGAAAGACCCAGAGTTGGAAATGAACGCAAGTCTTTATATAGTGATTGTATAGCAAACTAATAGATTTAATTCAAATATATGGATAACATGAATGAGACAGCAAACACTTCACTGCACAGCTCTCGAATATAGCGTCTAGATATTCATTAGTAGTATTGCTCGAGCACGTTTACGTTTATCTCGGATCCGTTAGACCCGATTACACGTTTACTTCTCTAGTTTTCTATAGGTAATATTGTAAGCCGTCTTCTGGTCTCGTGCTCCGGTCGGCTGCTTCGCGCTCGCGCCGCTCCGCCGAAGCTTCGTGGGTTGGCCCGGTGTGTCTCCCCTGTCGTGTGTCGGGCGGATAGCTTCCTTAGTATGATATAAAGTATACCTCCCCGGGCGTTGTCCAGCTCGCCGATGGCTCTCCCTCCGACGGTGTGGGTGCAGTGCTCTCCCTCCGAGCGGTGTGGGTGCGTTGCTCTCCCTCCGACGGTGTGTGCGCGTGCTCTCCCTTTCCGAACAGGTGTGTGTGCGCTCGCGTGCGTGCGTGCTGTGCGTGGCGTGGTTTGTCCGTTTGTCCGTTCGTCCGTTCTGTTGTTCGGTCACGTTCGTTCGTGTTTCGTGTCGCGATTCGGTATCGTTCGTTTGCTTGTTCGTGTCTGTCGCGTGTCTGTTCGTTCGTCCCTTCGTGTTTCGTAGTCGTGTCGTTCGTTTACTCAGTTTGTCGTATCTGTCCGTTCGTTGTTCGTTCGTTTGTTGTATCTGTCCGAGGACTGACTGACTCTACCATTAGAACTTTGGCTGGCTTTATTTAGGGGTCTGCGGAAATGACGTAGGACACTGCGCCGTACCTCCCGTGTCCGCGTTGGCCTCGCGTGCCTCGG